TGGTACTAATTCTAAGGCATTCTTTTTTTTGAGATGAGGTCTCACTCTGTTGCCCAGGCTAGAGTGTAATGGCAAAATCATAGCTCACTATAACCTCCAGACCCTGAGCTCATGTGATCCTTCTATCTTATACTGCTGAGTGGCTAGGATTACAAGTGCAAGCCACTAGCCAGGCACGGTGGCTCACGCCTGTAATTCCAGCACTTTGGGAGACCGAGGTGGGTGGATTACAAGGTCAGGAGTTCAAGAAGAGCCTGGCCAGGATGGTGAAACACCATCTCTACTAAAAATACAGAAATTAGCCGGCTGTGGTGGTGGGTGCCTGTAATCCTGGCTACTTGGGAGGCTGAGGCAGGAGAATCACTTGAACCCGGGTGGCAGAGATTGCAGCGAGCCAAGATTGTGCCACTGCACTCCAGCCTGGATGACAGAGTGAGACTGTCTCAAAAAAAAAAAAAGTGCAAGCCACTGTGCCCAGCTTTAGGCATTCTTTCAAAAATATATCTAGAGAAGATGTTGACAAAAATTCCATCTATTGAACATTCTGAATATCTGAATACTATGTAAACAGAGGCTCATCTGAACTTCAATGCCTGACACAGTAAGTCCCCAATAATTAATAAATACATGCTGCTTCAGTAAGTGAATAAAATTTTCCATGTATATTCAAATATTTAGGTTTCTTATAAAAGTGCGTAAAAATTATAATCAAAAACAATAGTACAATATACACATAAAAGATTAAAAGCAAGTATAACAGTAATTGTGTGAGGGGGAAAGAATGTTGCTCTCCCTCCAGTTTCTATTTGTTATAATATTTTGTTGAAACTTTTGAAAAAACATAAATATTTTTAATCAATACTACCTAATACCTCTGGAAACAAGAAATGAATTACAGGAGCAGTAATAAAAAACCAACATCCTTGGGCTTATATTCATATTAAAGCTGGTGAGACTTCACATTCCTCAACACACAATGGATCTTTCATTAATACTGGAAAATGCCTTTGTGAGAATATTTGCAAAGAATGGATGGAATTCTCAATGTTGCAAGTACCCAATGAATTATTTAAAAGAACAATGAATGAATGACTAATTAGAAATATTTCTTGAGTGCAGAGATATTTATATTACCAAAGAAAAGCTCTAAGTCTAGCATTTTTTCCAGAGCAGTCAGGAAGAAAAGATTAACTGTGGGCATCGGTCCCAAATGATTTGCCCAGGAAGAAAAGATTAACTAGGGGCATTGGTCCCAAATGATTTGCCCTCAAAATGATTAGAGTTGCCTTCTCATTAGCCAACTAATGATTTTAAGTACTCCTTGACTTGTAAATATTGCTTGTTTGCATGCTTGTTTATACTTTCTGCTTCACGCTATCCCTAAAAATAGGATTTAAGATAACTCCAAAGGAATGTACACTATAATAAGTAAATTTAATATAAAGAAAATGAGAAAACGGGAAACTAAAATTGGAAAGATAACATGAAGCCAGGTATATGGTAAGTGCACAAAAAGAACAACATTACGTCCTATATTCCAAATCGAAGTATGCCATAAACTAGGTTCTAAGTTTTCAAGAAATCAATTTTAACCCAAAGGCACAAGTTAAATGTTCAACATTCATTAGGTAAAAAACAATGTGTTCAAGAGAAATAGTCCTAATATTGAAATTAGAAAGAATTTTTTCTAATCAACTCATGTTTTTCAACAAGATATAATCAACATTTGCAATACTTAAATACAGATAATTTCCATAAGACTGTTTCTTATAAAATCATCAAACAATGCCACAAGAATTATAGTAAAAGGAATTCGGTAATATCAGTTCTACAAAGTTTTACATGATTTTTGTCTAAGTATCTATGCAATTGTTTTGATATCTGGCTTGGTCTAGAAATGCATTTCTCAGTGACAGGAATAGATGCTCTGGCAACAAACAGAAAAAGAAAGGAGGGGCTGGCTGCAGTGGCTCATGCCTGTAATCCCAGCAATTTATGAGGCTGAGATGGTACAATTGCTTGAGGCGAAGAGTTCAAGACCAGTCTGGGAAACAGTGAAACCGCCAACTCTAAAAAATAAAAAAATTTTTTTTCAAAAAAATTAGCTGGCCATGGTGGCGCACACCTGCAAGTCTCAACTACCCAGGAAGCTAAGGCAGGAGGATTGCTTGAGCCTCAAGGCTCAAGGTTGCAGTGAGTTGCAATTGTACCACTGCACTCCACTCTGTCTTAAAAAAAGGAAAGGAGAAAAGTGTTATGATAAACATACCTAGTAAAGATGTAACAGCCAAAATAATCCCTTAAAAGGAGGGAAATGAAGTCTTGTATATCCTTCAGTTGATTTATTCCTACATGTTTCTACTGTTTTTGTTATTAAAAATTATATCTCTTAAAAATACTTTAATTATTTAGTTTCTTGTATACTGATCATATACCTAGGGACCTCACTGAAATCTGTAAGTTTCTCCTATGAAACCTAATAATTTGTCTTTTTCATGTTTTCAAAACTTCTACCTACCACTTTTTTCTTTGTGACATCAATGAGACAAGAGTCTTCATACTCTCTATTAACCAGAAATCTCCTCCATTCATAAAATCCAATATACTGGTCTCTCATCACAACCTTCTAATCCTTTCTCGCTCTCAAACTTCTATTAACTCTAATCTTCAGTCCTATTACTCTATTCTCCTCCCAACTATTAGTCCCATACAGACTTTACTGCCTTCTGTAATGTACATCCAATAATGATCACATCCAACATTCTACCACTCTCTTGCCAGTCTTGTTCCTTTGTCTTTTTACCACGTCTACCATATAAGGGCTCAAGTATGGATTAATTCAGTTTCCCCTCTCTATTCCCAAACCTAGATCCTGGAAGAGTACTTGAGAAAAATCACAAATTAGTACCACTACATATTTTTGCAGTCTCATCCCAAATGAATCTTTTGCACCGCTCTGCAACCCCCATTACATGCTGCTTATTACACTTCCCCCTTTGGTTTCCTTTGGTCATTCTAAACTTTCACCACATTCCTCATGCCCTTATTTTGCCTTCACTGCTCCCTTTAGCATATGAATCTCATTTGGATGATACCTCTAGATGTGCAATTCGTACTTCAGTAACACTAATCTACTTGTCAGTCCCAAAATGTGATTTATTTTCATATGCTGTTCCCTCTACCCAAAATACGCTCCTCCAATTTGTCCAACCAGGATACACGTATTTACTTTTCAAATGTCAACTCAAATGCTATATCTCCTATGAAATCTTCCTCAGTCCAGATCCCTTCTTCTGTGTGCGCCCACTATACTCTGTGCCTCTGCCTCTATTTACAGAAATTATTGTGTTATTATATTGCACTGCAATTGCTTGCCTGTTTGCTTCTGCACAAGGCTATAAGCTCCTTAGAGGAAAAGGATCTTTTTTTTTTTAGTTTTCTATCCCAAGCACCTAGTTGGCACCAGCTAACTGCATGTTGAAGGAATGAATTCTTCCTACTAAAGTATAATTCCCTGAGCCCAACATTATGTAGAAGAAATGAAATTTAGAGGTAATAAATTTATAAAAACCTTAGCTAAAATGAATGTGGTGTGGCTGTGTCTCTAATAACAGCAATAGTGAATTTTACATTTGCAACCCAATTGAAATGCTGTTATGTAAAATGTACTTCAAGTACATAATGAAAATCTTCTACTAAAACAATAACTAAACAGCTCTACTTCTGAAACATCTGAATGGATAATGAACTCAGCGAACTTAAACCATATAGTAGACAGCACAACTGACACTACGCTAAATGTCATTCTAACAATTAATCTGAATGATAATCCAGCCCTATATAAACACTGACATTCACAAAATATTTATCAGAAATATCTGAAGAACACAAAAGAAAAACCAACAATGAAACCTAATCCTCACTCCCTGCCAAACATACACTTTTAAATGGGCAATTATTAAACAGGCAATGTAATATTAAGCAAAAAGGATGTCCTAATAGATCCCATACAACATGATGCCCTTTTTATTACGTAAAACCAACCAAAATAAAATGCATATACTTTGAGAAAATAAAAGGAAGTAAACGCTGACTTCAGAATGATAGTTAACTTAATTGGAGGAAGGCCAAAGAATGCAGTACTGAAGAGGAAGACACGGTTAGATTACTACCAAAGCCCTAGCTTCTGTTTTGGGTGGTAGATTCCCAGGTTATTATTACATTATTTTTTAAAAGAGAGAGAGAGAGAGAGAGAAAGGTAGATAGATACATACAGAGAAGGAGAGAATGGAGGCAAGAAGAGAGAGAAGAGGGGGCAGAGAACGAAGAGAGAAGAATGAATAGAAGCAGATACAAAGAAAAAAAAACACAGATAAAAGTTGACCAAGCATGGACCAACGATGCGAGTATGATATGAACCAAGGATTACTGAACCTGCAAAGAGATGACATGAAATGAGGTGAAAATAAAAACTTCTCACAGCATGTAAGCTAATAGCCAAGTTATTATCTCTGGATCAAACTCAAGTCACTCATCCAGGTTATGATTTTTTTGCTTCCAATTCCCTGACACTTTGAATTGCACTGCACAAAGCAACATGTTCTCCAGTACATGTGAGGTCTTCTACTAACAGCAATGGGCCTTCCGCTCAGAGATTACTCCCTCCAGGGAAGTGGGTGGAGGGGAGCAGCATAAATGGAAATCTTGCTAATTCACCAACTGGCTCTCTGGAATAGGGATGATAACTCCCAAAAGCCTTTGAATAGGCAACCGATGACTCTTATTCATTGATCCAGTACTTACCAAGTGCCAATTGTATGTCACATGTTATGATAAGCCCTGAAATCCTTCAGACTTATGACAGGGACAGTCCTAAAAAATACTTGAGTCTACTCCATCATCTTTTAAAAATTAAAAAATGTCAAGTCTCTATTACAAAATTGAAAAACACTGCTTCTCCAACAGACAAGATTTCATGAGTGGGTTGCTATGTGTTTTACCTGCTATCTCCGAAAGTGAGTTTACATGATCGCCTTCTGCCAGCTTCACAAATCCAACCTGATTTCCAAAAGTGCCAATCCCTTCAAAGGGCAAAGACAAATGTTTTCCTTGGAGGAGTTCTTCTATGAATGGTTTCAATTCCAAAAGAGCATCAGTACCACTGGTAAGAAATAATATATTTTTCAGTTACACATTAAGTAATAAAATATACAAAGCCAAATAAAGAACAAAGTACCAGTTTTAGAAAGACGAATTAATTTTGATATTTGTACTAATTATTTTAAGGCTCAAAATGTCCTCTAAATCTAACCTATATGATTGAAACTGATAGACAGTTTTAAACAAAAACTATGGAAGAAGTGAAAAAATCTTTACCTAATTATAATTGCTATTAAAGACATAAAAGTAGATACTATTGTACAGTTTACCAAAAAACTTTATAACTGTATGAAATATTACAATATTTTTATATAATTTTATATAATTTTTTGTGGACAACACAAAAAATTACTGAAAATATATCCCAAAAAACCGAATACCTACAAGCACTTACATTAGATTATGTGTAAAGTTCTAGATTCTTGATGAAAGTACTAATACTTTTACATACTTACCATTTGTAAGACACTCTAATAAAACTTCTTTTAAAATATGTCTCTATAATTCGATAATTTGCTATACTTAGACTCAAATAAAATACAAGTTTAATTATATTCCCAAATTGTAACTATGTAAGTTTGCTATATGTACATTAGCTATTTAGCCTATGCAATTATACAGCTGCTCTGTGTTGGAAGTGCTATATTTTTCTTTCTTTCTTTCAAGTGCTCTTTCTTTCTTTCTTTCTTTCCTTCTCTCCCCGCTCCCCGCCTTGTTCTCTCTCTGTCACCCAGGCTGGAGTGCACTGGTGTGATCACAGCTAAGCCTTAACCTCCTGGGCTCAGGTGATCCTCCTGCCTCAGCCTCCTGAGTAGCTGGAATACACAGGTGCATGCCACCATGCCTAATTTTCTTTAAAATTATTTACAGAGAGGTCCCCCTAGCCTGCAAAGGCTGGTCTCAAACTCCTGGGTTCGAGTGATGCTCCAACCTCAGCCTCCAAATTGCTGGGATTAAGGTGTGAGCCACTGCATCCAGCCACACTTTTCTTAATAAAAACAAATGTTTACTATATTATTGAATTAGACATTATGAGATTTTTGATATTTGGAAAATTAGAATTACCTCTAAAGAAAATTTTGGTATAGGTACTTCATTTTGAGAAAAAAATGAATTCTCACTAGAGGGCAGCAATTACTTAAAAAAGAACTAAGCACATTCATACAGAAGTTTAAAACACCCTTCTAGTGGAGTGCCTTCATTTAAATTATTTTGATCAGTGATTTGTTCAGTCAAGCATTTGAAAAAATTCGTTCTCTTAATCTTTCATATTTCTAAATTAGTCTTCAAAGTTTTTAACTGATTTTCATCTATGACTTCTATACCAGTCTCATTTATCTGAGAAATTACATAGCTATACTAAAGTATTATACATTTGTCATTTCCAAAATTGTAAAGTATTGTACATTTGTTGTTTCATTTTAAAAATGACAAATGTACTTTAGCACAGCTACGTATATGTCAACATTTCTCATTGTACCTCCAAATCCACAGTTTAAATCCACTATTACCTAGCTGTAGTTAAGTTCATCCAAACATATACAATGTACATACTTTTAAGTCAGTACTTTCCTCCACTCTGTGCTATGAATTAAAGCATGTGATAACAGAACAGCTACTCCTGGCTCATTTATAAGTTGGGAGAATTCAAGATATTTGTTTTAAGTGAAACTATATGCTAAACCAGACCATGAGAAAGGTTAAGACTTCAGAGACAGTGAATTCTATGTCATTATTCTTTAAAGAAATGCAGATGATCTAAATTCAGTCCATTTTTCCAGTTCTCCAGTAGTATAAATCAATAAATTTGTCCTAATAAGATGCCAGTGATTCACAGGGTGCAAAAGAATATCAACTAACTTTCTACTGGGAATATCACTAACTTTCAAATTATTTTAACATATTCAAATAGAATATGTTTTCAAGAAGGGTTTATGAAAAGGCTTCTTTAAGGTAAAATTAGTAAAAAGTACATGGATATAAGAAACTGAATTCTCCAACTGGAGCTCAGACTCAAAGGCTGTATTTCGAACAAAGACAGAACATCTCTCTTTTCAAATCTGCACCTGGGCTTGGCCTAATATTCCATTCCTTTCTTCTACACTGTGAGGACACAAAGGATTTTAGGTGACATCTCCATCAAAAAATTAATGATTTTTTAAAAGTCTCTGCACATTCCATATCCAATCCATTCATCAGTACATTATTCAACACCTAAAACTTGATATTAGACTTTGAAAAATAAGAATCAGTATAGGACAAGAAATGAGGACAACATAGTTGTCTAACATACAGTTTAGGATAAAAAATTAAAAATTAGAGACTTCTAATAAATCATTCACATAAACAACGTCTTCCCAGAAACCCCATCAATTCCATTCTAGCTGCCCCAAGGTGAGGTCACACATCGAACCTCATCACCACTTAAAAGTTGACACCTCTGCCTCTCCAGAATAGGAGTGGACCCAATCCAATCAGTTAAAAGCCTTAACAGAAAAGACTGGAGTTCCCTGAGAAAGAAGGAATTCTGTCCCCAGACTGATTGAGGACTTGAGAGTACAACATTAACTCTTCTGTTCCAGGCTACCCTGCAGATCCTTCAATCATGGGAGACAATTCTTTAAAATAAATCTCTCTACATAAAGATATACATGTCTACACAGACAGATATAGATAGATATCTACATAGATATGCTGCTATTGGTGCTGTTTTTCTGGAGAATCCTGACCATTCTAACACACACACAGCACTACTCCTTTCTCTCAACCTTTCATCTTGCATAGCATCTTCTTTGGATTCTCTTCTTTCAAGAATGTCAGAGTACTGCTTTTTTTCTTCTGATGGGTCAAGTGATCAAAGTCAAATAAAATCTCCCCTCCTCTCTGTCCTTGCAGGATGCTCAAGCCTGCTTCGGGTGCATTGGCTTGGGACAGATTTTAAAATTGACCTCTAAAGACATGAGGTTCTACTGTTTAAAAGACATAACTATAATAATCATAATGGGGTTGAATGTTTTGAATTATTAATTTATTTCATCTTATCCCTTTTATTTTACCTTTTCCTCAACCCCTTCCTAATTCAAGCCTTTTTCCTCATTCCCTCAGGAGATATAGCTGTCAAAGTAGAAAACAAAAGCAACCTGCAATTCATCCTGGCTTTGGTTTTCCAAAACTCTTAGGCTTGAGCTTAATACAGTGAGCTATATATGACGTAACAGATGAAAAGAAAATCTAAGTACCGATAGAGTGTCCCAGAGAACTGGGAGAAGAATAAGGTTTCTTCCAGATTGGAAAACAGTAATCAATGACTTACCTTCAACCTTTATGGCAGAACCCTGGCATGGTGGCACTGGGGGTGGGTAGAGTACAGTAACTCTAAGAATGACTTAGGTGAAACTCAAATTGTCCAGTGGCCTAATAAAAATGCCAGCTCTAATAGCTAATAATAGAGTGCCTACTATGTGCTAGGCCCCAGACAAAGAGCTCCTGCACATACTGGTGCTCTTATTTTCTCCATTTACTTAGAAAGTACATGATTTGCCCAAAGTGAGGCAGATAATAAGAGGTGGTTGTGCCTTGATTCCAAAATACATATCTAGAATTTTAAGCTAAACTCTGGTCAGGTCCAGAGTGCTTATATTATGAGCATGGGCAAAACAATTACATAACCAAGGGATACCACTTCATAACCATAACAGAGTTTAAAAGTCTAGATTTAAAAGCATATTATGCAGTACATTCCATATATTAACAATTCATTGGAATAAATTATATGGAGACTAGTTCTTTAAAATTTAGACTGCCTCTTTGGGTTCTGCTGTGCTTATTCATTTTAAAGTAATACAATTTGGAAAATTATATTTAAGAAAGGTATATTACTCACATGTTTACTTCATCTTCATTTAATAATTGCATCACCAGCAGTGTAATATGAAAGGAACCATCTCTGACCATTGCTTGGGCCAGTCGCTTATCTTGTTGTATTACTGCATTTTGCAGGCTCTTAATTCCTTTTATAATCTAATAACACATATATACATACAGTGATTAGGTATGCAAAATTTCTTTATGGTAAAACATAAATCAAAAAGGAAATAAACAACAACCAAAATTAGAACAATGTTAAGATTCCTCAACTAAACAAATGCTTAATTGTCTACCTGTTCTCAAACAGACAGTTGACTTGGACAGTTTAAAAGGATGTGTAAGTTTTAAAGCATGATGATTGTCTATCTTAAGAGCACTGAACCCAACACCCTTATTTTGCAGATTAGATTGCTATCAGACTAGAAAAACCTCTCAGCGGCCCTGCATATTTTCAGAAATGTGTCCTTGGAATACCCAATATGACTCAATAACTATGATCTTTCCTAAGAATAAGGCTTTATTCTTGCCACAGAAAGGTCAAGCCAGCAGACAACATTCCATTTCTGTTAGAAGCAATAATTATTTGTCTCCAAGTGAATGTGTCTGTGAACCCATTCCTCATGGCCTTTAGGATTTTTTAGGACAGCAATAATTTCAATAGAAATGACTACTGTCATTTTTCCAGACCTGGGAAGAGGGGCATTACCATGAAGAGTTGCAAAGAAGTCCAAATGCACAAGTTAGAAAAACTGAATCTGCATCCAGGAGAAATCCCCACAGACCTGGTGCATCACCTCCCTTCCCCTCTCAGCACCTGCTCCTCTGAAACAGGGAGAGGAATGATGCATCTTCCCTCCTCCACTTTCAGTTAGATGCAATTCTAGTCAACTTCTAAATGTGAGTACACTGGAAAGTAGTTTGAATGCAAAATAGCAAACCCAGAAAAGAAAACAACAGCAACAGAGAAAAGAGAGCACAGACAAGCCCTAAGGGAACAGAAGCTAGAAGCCCTGAGGCAGCAGAATTAGTGAGAGAAAAAAGGGAAAGAGTGGGGGCTGACAGTCAATGTAGAATCCATAAAAAAGCAGACAAGAAAAAACTGACTCATGACCATAGCAAACTGTTCTGATACCAAGAGTAGCTGTTGTATCCTGAACAATGTTCCCATTATCTGCTAATGTGATTGTGCAAATCATGAGATGCTGTCCTTGGATCTGACTTCCCATTGACAGAGACTCTCCTTTGACTGAAACATGAGTCAGGACCCTCTGAGTCTTCTGCTTGACTAGCCCTAACCATGGGCTTCTCTCTCTGTCCTTGTAGAATCTAGTTTCAGAATACTGCCATGTCAGTTTAAAGAAATCCCCCACCCTTGGTGTCTAACCACCCTCCATATCTGAGCTATCTTATCACTATAGTCTCCCTTCAGCAACAATCCTATCCAGTCTGTTTAGCCAGAAACCCCTCACCCTTCTTCTCAGTAATTTTCCATTCACTGACCTCCACTCTGCTCCTTGGCTATAAATCTCCATTTGTCCTTGTTGAAGTTGAGTCCAGTTTCTCTCCCCAGCTGAGAGACCCCATTGCAGTGATCCCTGTACCTGTCATCATGGCCCCTCTGGAATACAGTCTGCCATACCATCTTTAACAAGTGTCACGAACAATTTTTCCTTAAGTATCATGTATCCTTACAATAAATCCACATCACCCAAAATAACCTCAGCATTTCTCTGTTCCTTATAATCTGCAAGATACCAACCGAGGAAATGGTGTTTTGTTTGTATGATGTTTGTATGATGTTACACAGTAACATGTAATATTTCCCAACGCAAGATGTCGCTTCTGTAACACTCGATAAAAGAATATTCGTAGCCTAATAAATAAAACGCTCCAAACATAATGGTATACAAAAAATCTTAGGGAGTCACAGTTTATAAGACAAAATGAAATTATAAACTGTTTGAGGACAATGTCTATCTCTTATATACCACTCTTACCACGGTGCAGTTGTGACATGGTAAAAGCCCCATAAAACTGCATACCTCAACCAAACTTCCGCTTTCTGTTGAAACTGCTCTCTGTAACCCTAATGTGACAGGCAAGCAGTCCAAACCCACACCATCTTGGCCCCTGCGACTTGTAATAAGTAACTAAGGTCTGTAATTTCCACCCTACCCAGACAATGTGTAAACTAACACTTATCTTGACTTCTGTGAACCACTTAGGTAACAATCGGAATGTCTGAAGCCCCTCACCATCACCCCACCCAGGAGGTGGTTTACAAAATGTCCAAAGTCCACTGGCCCTTGGAATGTCCAAAGTCCCTCACCCCCATCCCTGCCCAGGAGGTGGTTTACCCGCATAAAAGGTCTTAACACCCTCCTTTCGGGGCCACAGGTTAAAAAGACGTGAGTCCTCCATGGCCGCCGGCAATAACCCTCTGAATTGGCTTACTTTTGCCTCAGTGGTAATTTCGCAATCGCTTGCTTACAACACAGTGATGATAATAAAAAACAATATTTAAACAGTAGCAGCAGCAACTATCCTTTACTGTGTTCTTGTTAGGTTCCAGGAATCATAGTGAATATTTTACATATCTACATTAGCTCACTGCAGCCTCCCAACAGTCCCATGAGATAGAGATTGGTATTCTCTCTGTTAAAATAAACTGAAACACAGACTTTAAAAATCTCAAGGCCATATACCCGCCCCAAAAGCAAAAAAGAAAAAAAGCCTTGGAAAAGAATAAACTGCATATGAAAAAGATGACAGAGGCACCTGGAGGAAAAGATCCAGCAGGAGTAAGAAGTAGCTAGAATGCAATGGAATACAGAAAAAGACCAAGAGGGGTACAAGGAGTTTGTCTGTTTATGAGAAACGGAAAGGGAAGGAGCTGACATGTGGTCACGGACTTAAGAACTGAAACATCAGGGAAGGCATTTAAGGGGATTTTCAGAAAGTCTAATCATTGCTAAGGTTTGAATGTGTGCTCCAACGTTCATGTGCTGAAAACCAGACCAACAAGGCAGTGTCGAGGGGTGGGGCCTAACAAGAGGTGTTCAGGTCACAGGGGTACTGCTCTCATGAATGGGTTAATGCTCTTACTGCGGAAGTGAACTTCCTAAGGATGAGTTAGTCCTCTCTTAAGATTGCTCACTCTTTCACTCACTCTCTCCCTAGCCCTCTAGTCTTTCACCATGGGACAACAGCAGCAAGAAGGCTCTAGCCAGATGCTGGCTGGTTACTCAATCTTGGATGCCCCAGCTGCCAGAATTGTGAGAAATAAACTGCTCTTTATAAATTATCCAATCTCAGGTAGCACAAAATGGACTATGACACTATGTAACACAACACAATGGCCCTCAAAAAAAAAAAAAAAAAGCCTGTATAAGTCCACATTACTCCACGATTATTTTAAAGTTGAATTTCTGCATAGCCAAACTTAGAGTTGCATTAAAAATCATATTAGAAAAGCTACATGGAAGTACTTTGTAAGCTCTTCACCATTTGCCAAACAGAAGGTACACAACAGCACCAATACTATTCAAATCAGTGTTTTTCTACCAGTGCAATTTTGCCTCCCAGAGGACATTTGGCAATATCTAGAGATATTTCTGGTTGTCATAATTGGATAGGGGATTGTTACTTGTACCTAATATGTAGAATATTTGTATTTTCACACTAACTTGGTCTTCATTCTAACTTCAAATATTAATTATATGTAAATTCAGGGCAACGTTCAAAATTCTATCCATTTATATATTCCATATTCTGGTGAAATGTCCCACATGGTAAAATAGTTTTAGACCAATTAGTATCTTTGAATTATTGAGTAGCATATAAAACTGTAAGTAAAAACTGTAAAATACTTTAAAGACTATTATTTCTCTCAAGTCACACAGTACTTAGGCAGGATTAACCCCAAACTTATGAAAATGTTAAGGTTAATCTAATCAAGCAATATCTTTCTAACTGCTTTGATTCTCCAGATTAATTTATGTCTTTCTTGATGTAACGGTAATATTTTTCATGCTTTTTAATCTTAATTACATTATTAAAAAGTAAAAGAAAAGAAAAACACCTTAGAGTCTTCGTTATATGTCATATCTTAAAAATACCAATGACATCAAAGTCCAAAGGAAACTAATTTTTACAGCCATTATTTAAAAATCCATAAAGTCATTAAAGCTTATCTGTCACCATAATCCCCAGCCACTGGCAGTGCTGCAGAAAGCACATTTTTGAAATCTAACACTATAAAGTCAAATTCAAATAAAACACTGAAAGAAACTTGTAAAAATAAAAACTTTACCTAAATCTTCAATATTTCATTCACTGAGTAATTTAAGAGAATAAAAGCTAATATTCATCTGCTAAATATCACCAGTCATATTCCACACGTCTAAGAATAATGCAATTAGAAAATTTGTTTTCATATCTTTTAAACTTTCTAATTGACTCAAATCATATATGAGTTCAAAGGAAATGCCTTAAAGTTAGCATGCCTCTACATGAGAGAGAAGAGTTACATTCTAGGGAAAATATGTTTGACTTCATCTTTTGATATTGTTATTGGAATTTTCCTAAGTTGTTATTAACACATATATTCCCAAATTTGTTGCCTCATTAAGATTTATTGGAAGTATCACACTAATTTGCTACCTAATTTTTCTTAATTTTTTTTGCTTGTCTACAACTATCAAAGAACTTGAAAAACTGATAATATAGCAATAATTGGAGTAAAAGTTAAAAATCATCCTCGAATAAAGAAGATTCTATATCTACCAGGTGCCTAACATACACCTGATGACATCAAATACCTTTACTATTATTTTCCAGAAAAGAACTGAATGCACTAATCCACGTCCATATTTTCCTAAGACCAGTAATTTTCACATTGCAAAATTTTGAAATACACAATTAAATGTAACAAATGACTTTTAAAACTCCTGAAGAGGCTGGGCATGGGTGGCTCACACCTGTAATCCCAACATTTTGGGAAGCTGAGAAGGAAGGATTGCCTGAGCCCAGGAGATTAAGACTAGCCTGGGCAACAATAGTGAGACCTTGTCTCAAAAAAAAGAAAAGAAGAAAGAGAAGGAAGGAAGGAAAAAAGGAAGGAAGGAAGGAAGAAAGGAGGGAGGGAAGGAGGGAAGGAAAAGAAAGAAAAACCCCTGAAGAAAATCTAAAAAATTAAAAATATACTGTTAGCATATTTTTAAAAGATACCAACAAAAAAGTGATAATATACTCCTAATTTCCATCAGCTTCTGACTGTTTCTTGATTTTTTCAATGTTGATTCTTATATTATTATCTCTCAAAATAGGCATATAAAACCAATATATGGTTAAATCCAGTTAGAATTAATTAAAAAATTCTAGCCATTTAAGAAACATTTAGGATTTACTATATCCCCATCAAAATGTTTTCTTCTTTTCTTTTTAAACTAACATGCAATTGCAAGTCAATGGAAACACATACTTCCATATACTTCCAATTAGGATTTTTTAATGCAGCCATCCTAATCCATTTTCTGTTGCTTAAAATATGAAATCAAGATTTTGAATTCCAAACTTCTAAGAATGTGTTTAAAATCAAAGACCAGTGGAATTCTGAATACTTTTTTCTTTAAAACTAGATGCCAACATGTAGAGGCTAAAAGTAGAGCAACTCATTGTGAATGTGCTAGCTTCCAAAAGCTTGTTTGCAGGTCACTTAATTGGAACTTGGAATACAGTCTTCCATTGAAACAATGTTATAAATGCTACTCTTTTCCCAAGCCTTCCCACAAAAGCTCTTACATAGTTTAAAAAGAATATTAACATGAGACACTTTAAAACAAACAAAAATGTGCTCATGCAGAAGATACAAAATATAACTCCTAATCTTGCCTGATCCCTACATCTCTTCCCCGTATTTGGATGTAAGCTTTAAGTGGTTAACTACAAATAGGTCTCCTGAAAGGGAAACATTAAATTATTTGGTTTCATGATCCTTGAAATCTGCATTTTCCCCTATTATAAGTTACCCTACCTCCTCCAAAACAAATAACTGCTGTTGACTTGTATTATGAAACTACCATTACATTGTATTTATTATTTTTAAATGTTCTGGTTGTAACTTGGAATGACAGAAACACGTCTTCACGGTGAAACAGGAGAGAGAGAGAGAGAGAGAGCACGAGAGCAAGAGGGCATGTGTGCGCATGCACCTACTCTTGAACAGGCACAAGCCTAGGTATGAGCATGCACTAACAACCTTCTGAGGAAGACAGGTGTCAAGCTCTAAGGATGACAAAAAACAAACAGATAGCTGTGAAAGCCTTTAGCTGCTAGGAATGGGCAAGCAAAGTGGGTAGTTGACCTAGACTAGACGGGGTGGCCATGGGAAGAGAGGTTTGAGCTGAGATTCCGGCATTAACAAAACCAAGAGGAGCAAGGAGAAAACTCCAGCCAGGGAAGGCTTCTCTGGGACCGAGGGAACCCTGGCATGCCCAAGGACAGCTAGAAGAGCTCGGGTAGAAAAAGCAAGGGCTGAAAGGGAGAGGACAGAGCAGTAAAAACCTCAGAGAAAAGGAAAAACAGGTTGTCTTTATCCTACTGACAGGAAAATCCTAAAGTATATAAGCAGGTTGGTGACATGGCTAGGAGGGGAGGGGGCAGACATGGGAGTGATGCAGAGATGCTGCTCAGTCTCCCCTGGGAGCAAGGAATAGAGGTGATGGGGAAAGCATAAGCGGCCTAGTGAAAGCAACAACCTGAGATGTTCATGGAACATCTACATTGAAAGACACTGTCAAATCAAAATAGAGAACCTGGATTCTCTTCCAATCACCAATCTCACATCTGCAGGGAAGTCACTTCAACTGTCTGACTTTTCAATGTCCTTAGACCTGGCTTCTGTCTGGCTGCTCATGAAAGCAGCAGCACTTCTCACTCCCTGAGCTCTTCTAATCCCCATACCCCCATATGTATACATCATCCTAAATTTCAAACCAAACAACTTGCAAGTATTTTAATAAAATATATAATTACTGATTACACTAACTTTGTATTGCCTAAGCACTTTTAAAACTATTTCACCAGGACTTTTGTTGTTTGTGGGTTTCTTTAGAAATATGGTCTGGCTCTGTCACTCAGGCTGGAATGCAATGGTGCAATCTCAGCTCACTGTAACCTCTGCCTCCTGGACTCAAGCACTCCTCCCACCTCAGCCTCCCAAGTAGCTGGGACCACAGGTGCAACCCACCATGCCCAGCTAATTGTTATACTTTTAGTAAAGACAAGGTTTTGTCACGTTGCCCAGGCTGTTCTCAAACTCCTGGGCTTGAGGAACCCACCCACCTCAGCTTCCCAAAGTGCTGGGATTACAAGCTTGAGCCACCATATCCGGCCCTTATTAGGACTTTTAAGAACTATTCCTCTCCCTGGTCATCTAGTGGTTAGGATTCAGGAAAAAAAAAAAAAAAGAAGAAGAAGAAGAACTATTCCTCAACCAAAGGAATCAAATATGTATCAGTATAATCAGAATATGATTCTTCACTACATCAAATCTAAAATTTACATGGCTAGGTAATTTTTCTCTTTTTATGTATATTTTCTCCCCAGCTGAACTGTGTGTCTCAGACTAGATATTTCCTAGAATGACCCAACATAATTTTTTTTTTATATTTATTTCTTTCATTTTAATTTTGATTTGATTTTTAACAATTTGTTAGCATTCCCTAGAGACATTCTAGTTAAACAAGGGGAAAAGCAACCTGAAAATGTGCCTGGTCAAAGAGATTATAACTCGCAATCAAACAGAAATTCAGATCTGACTCTTAAATTGGGCCAAGGAGTAAAAACAGTCATTCTTCCAAGTGAGGTGTTCTTTCCCGAGGCATTTTAATTCCCACCTCACTGCTTCAGTAGTTGTAATGAGATGCAACAGTTTTCTCTCTCAGGGCTTTCTCAGTAAGAGCTAGTTGGCTGGTTCTATTTTCTATTATTTATACTACATTAATTTTTCAGATTTTTAATAGATTTCTACCAAGTTTATGGTGCAATATTAAGTTGTTACAACACCAAGTAATTTGTTAAAGAAACTACGTTGAAATAATCACTACCATAAACAAGATTAAACAGCAAGAAACCCCAACAGAGATCTCAGAATTTTCTCTTCTCAACTGCTCACTGCTCTCTGCTTCCAAAGGGTCCCTCAGAAAAAATGAACAAACACTTGCAAATGACCTTGACATGCCATCTGGCAACACTTTTTCAAGTGGTTTTTGCAAAATTACTGTTTAAATATGATTGTCTAAATCATTTTGGAGGCTGAGATGGGAAGACTGCTTGAGCCCAGAAGTTCAAGGCTGCAGTGAGCTATGACTGTGCCACTCCACTCCAGCCTGGGTGACGGAGCAAGACCCTGTCTCAAAAAAATAAAAATAAATAAATATTTTCCAAACATGTTGTTTAAATACATTTCTATTACTTAAATAGAAATATTCCCTGTATATCCTGCTAAAATGCCACCACCAAAGACTCTTGGAAGCTGAGAGCAAGTGGGCTCATAAGCATTTAGTGTGCTTTAAATGTAGAATAAAATTTCACAGTAAAAATAGTTTTTAAAAAAAATACCACCTCTTTGTTGGTGATTGGAATGGACAGGAAATAGTTGGGTTGATAATCTTTTCGCTTTGGTTTCCTCTTCTTTACTCGATCACTCTTGATCCTTTCTTTTTCTTTACTTCTCTCCGAATTTATCTGAGGTTCATCAGTGACTAGAGGAAAAAAGTCAAACAATATGTCTAATACATTTAAACAAAGATAATATAGTCAGGGAAAAAAGGAAACAAGCAATATATAAGTAGCAATCATTCATAACTGTCACTGTCAAATCTAAAGAAGGAGTTTGCAAACATTTCTGTAAAGGACCTCATAGTAAATATTTTAGACACTGCAGGTCACATAGTCTCTGCTGTAACTACTCAACTCTGCTGTAGACAAAACATAAGTGAGTGGGTACAGTTGTGTTCCTGCTTTATCTTCAAAGCAGGGTGGTTAACCAGATTTGGCCTGAGGGCCATAGTGAGCTGACTCCTGATTTGAGGCACGGCTCCCAGCACCACAATGTTCATAACATGAGAAAAGAACGTTTCTTCATCCATTCTGTATAGGTATATTTGTAACTTCTAGGGTATAAACCCACTGCCATACAAAGTTTTGGTCTGTGGCCATTGTCACACTATACACTATTGTTGCAAAAATTAAGAGAATGCTTTGGAAAGTTCCATAGCAATGGTGCACAATAATTTTGTCTGCTGAATTTTGATTCCTACTTTGTAGGTGTTTTATTTCATTTTTCTAATAATTCATTTTTATTGTATTTTACAAAAGTTTATCTATTGGCAACAAACAGGAAATTTTTTTAAAAACTGATCCTTAACAAAAAGGTACTCTGAGAAGCACTTACATCACTGTTTAAAGTAATCCTCATAATATTCATTTACAACATCTAACAATTCTAATTATGAAGCTTTGCTCCCAGATATAATGACAAAATCTGTGTGAAATGCCATCATCTCCTTTTTTTTTTTTAGCAGATTCTATCAGGGCTTCCATATGAATGCAAAACTACAATCCATTAATTGAGCTTCCAAGCCATGTCTTCTCAAATAGTACTTTACTGTTCAAAATACAGTTCTCAGCAGGGCATGGTGGCTCATGCCTGTAATCCCAGCACTTTAGGAGGCTGAGGCAGGCAGATCACTTGTGCTCAGGAGTGCGAAACCAGCCTGGCCAATAAGGTAAAGCACCATCTCCTCTAAAAATACAAAAATTAGCTGGGCATGGTAACATGTGCCTGTAGTCCCAGCTACTTGGGAAGGTGAAGCAAAAGAATCACTTGAACCCAGGAGGCAGAGGCTGCAGTGACCCAAGACCATGCCACTACACTCCAGCCTGGACAAGAGAGTGAAACTCCATCTCCAAAAAAACAAATAGAGTACCTCACAGAGACTTCATGAAAATTCAAATATATTTTCTGAGGTATTACTGTGAAAAAGGAAGGGAGGAACCATTTTACCATACACTCAATCCTACTAGGTTGGTTGCATCTTTGGGATCAACTCTACTAGACCACAGTAACTACCTGCACACAATGCCCTAAGAAGGATTGTGAAAAGAAGTCTGGGCTCAACCCAGGGCCCAATGTCTGTGTGCATATGCAACCCTGATTTAACTAAATCCCTTATTTTACACGTGCTAAAACAGAAAAGCAGAAAAAGTGTGCTACTGTATCAGACTGCATCTCTATTGAAGTTCTGCATAACTAGTTAATATTACTCATAAAACCACAGAGCAAAAACCATTGTTCTTATTCACTTTCGCTTTGAGATATTAATATTAAACAATTTTAAATTAATGTCTCAAACAGTATTTTAATGCTAACATCTAAGAAAAATAGCATAGTGTGTTTAAAATTAAAAAGCAAAGAGTGTGTAGGACGTGTTTTCTTTCCAGAACACCTATTTTTAAGGCCTACAAAATGGGGTAAACTAAGAGCAAGGTGGCCTGGGCAATATATCATTATGAATTAAGGCAAAATTATCTAGTGTGTTTGTGCATCTATTTCATCACTATATCTGTCAACAATATGTCTAATGATGAATGTGGCTAATGACAGCTCTTCATGGATAGAGGATACACATTTAAAATATAAATTATTATTAGCTTCTTTTACACATGTAAGCTTATCAGAACTTTATAGATTCTATCACTAAGAAATTGTTTGTAGCATTTTTATCTATGTTATAAGCATTACGTGAATTGTCTCATTCATGATGCCATTGGGTTTTACTTCTTATGTAAGAGTTTCAATACAGCAAATGAAATCAATATCTCATTGGGTTGCCTGCAATTTTAGATATCTACAAAAAGGTCCTATATCTAATTGCAGTAACATGAATTAAATGTACTAATCTTAAACAGAAGCCACAAAATATGCTAATGAAAAACACATATATTTTAAATCCACTTAGAAATACATTTCTAGCCCACCACCACATACTGCTAATAAATTTGTACTCTGAAAATGGAAGCCAATTTTAATATAGTTGGAACCAGAACACCTGGGTTAGAATCCTGGTTCTCCCACATACTAGCTGTGTGACTGTGTGCTTTTAGATGAGCACATAAACTCTGTTTACTCAGTTTCCCTCTGTAATTTTAGAATAATAATAATAATAGCTATTTCATAGGATCGTTTCAATGATTGAGTTAATACAAAAAAATATTTAAACTGCTTCCTGGTACAAAGTAAACACTATCATTAGCTATTATAATTATTAGATAATACCCAGAACTAAACATAATTAGGAAGATAAATCTGTATATGCTAAAGAACATTTAGGAAACTCCAAAAAGAAACAGATGATTTATAACCTCTCCACTGTTTTGACTTATCCAGACCACTTGTACCTTCCATGAGTATGGAAAATGAGGAACCATCCTGAATAGTTCTTTTTTGTTGTTTTGGTTTTGTTTTGAGACAGAATCTCACTCTGTCACCCAGGCTGGAGTACAGTGATGCAATCATAGCTCACTGTAACCTTGAACTCCTGGGCTCAAGTGATCCTCCCACCTCAGCCTCTCCAAACAGCTGGGACTAGAAGTGTGAGATCACATCTCATTAAGTTTTCATTTTTTATAGAGATGGGGGTCTCACTATGTTGCCCAGGCTGGTCTTGTACTCCTGGGCTCAAGCAATCCTCCCACCTTGGCCATCCAACATGCTGGGATTACCGGCATGAGCCACTACACCCATCCCTAAACAGTTTCTTTAATTGAATACAACGTTGAAAAATAAATTTCAAAAGCAAGACCCCCCTCTTTTTTAAGGTAAAATTACAAATCAATTCTAAATAAGTTTCTAGCATCCATCCCCTTATATTTTATTGTCTAAATCATGACACAAGGCTAACCCCAAGCAACAATGCTGGGATGGTGAATCTGGCAGCTATCAATGTGTGCTGGGAAAAAAGGTGCAACAGCAGTTGAGAAGGTGACTAGTACTGTGTGTTTCAATCTATAGAGGCAGCACTGGATAGTGAAAAGGCCGATGACCTGAAGACTGATTTCCAACAAGCATCTTTTAATTAAGTTACTTAATGGGTTTATCTGAGTACTGAAAAATCTTATCAATCCTTCTAGAAAGAACTAATTGTAAGTCTGGAGCATACAATGTAAGAGAGTTCTGGAAATTCAGAGTCTCCTGAGATCGTATCAGAAGATCTCTAGTCAATTTAAATGTCTTCCCATTGGTTGAGGATGGGACAATTTGGTCACCAAACAGAAAAAACTTCAGTGGTGTTAAATATATCAAATATGCTTAAATTCATCTGTTCCAAATGATACTTAAAAAAAAATTAAAACCAAAAGCTCACTTTGGAGGAGTCTAAAGAACCATTATTCTAAATATCTGATGATACAGGGGAAAAGTCAAGCATTTATCCCACCTCTCCTTATAAACAAATAGTCATATAGGAAATTAAACAGCTAGCTAAGGTGAATTTCTTCATAGAAATTTCAAGCTAATTAATGCAAAAGGATAGAGTTAGAATATCACCATTTCAAAATACTCAATAGATCAACAAATAGATCAACCCAATGACCATCAATGACCATTAATGGATGATCCATCACATGGAAGGCTGATGAGGAACTTTAATAAGATACATTAGAGTAATAAGGCCTGAAGCCACTGATCAATCTTAACATCACAAAAAGGCAAGACAAGCAAACATTATTTGCCTACTTATGTCACACTATAGGAAATTCAAAATACTATCCTTGTCCAGGCATAGTGGCTCATGCCTATAATCTTAACACTTTGTGGGGCCTAGATGGGAGGACCACTAAAGTCAAGGAATTTGAAACCAGCCTGGGAAACACAGCAAGAACCCATCACTACAAAAAATTTACAAATTAGTCAAGCACGGTGATGTGTACCTGTAGTCCCAGCTACTTGAGGCGGGAGAATTACTTAAGCCCAGGAGTTCAAGGTTACTATGAGCTATGGTCATGCCGCTGTACTACAGTGTGGATGACAGGGTGAGGCCCTCTCAAAAAGAAAAAAAATACTGTCTTTGGAGCATTCTTTCAAATGTTCAGAAATTTAATTAAGCCTCTTGATCTAACTATCAGTTTACCAGAAGTATAAGAGACAGAGAAAAATGTTAAATGACCAGAATATCAAAACTACTATACAACCTGATTTCTTCAACAAGACATACACACATACACATACCCAAAAGGAAAAAAGGAGATGTATACATGAAAAGAGACTGAAGAGATGTATCAATCAAATATAGTGCATAGATTTTGGTAACTAATTCAAATAATCCAGATTTCTTTAAATTGTGACACAGTCAGAGACTGTCTTGATATTTGATGACATTAGGAATTACCATTATTTTCTGGCATAGTAAGGACATTTTGAATTTTGTTTTAAAAAGAATCTTTACCTTTTAAAGAAACACAGTAAAGTATTTACAGATAAAGTGATATGTCTGGGATCTACTTCAAAATAATCCAGTAAGGAAGAGGTAATGAATACATGAGGCTTGTTGTCCTATTTTCTCTACTTTAATATACACTTAAACGTTTCTACAATGCAACATTAAAAAAAAAAAAACAGGGGCAGGGAGGTTTAGACCATCTCTTCCTAGGGGGTCTCTTCCAGTTCTAGCTTTCTGTGATTTGTGGTAAAGGTACTAACTGT